TTTATTGCTGCTTGTGGTTAGAACTCTAGCTGATTACAAGCTTGGCGAAGAGCATTCATCTGTGTGAGATCATTCAGGTATGGTGCTCGGTTTGAGGTCAAAGAAAAAAAGGGGTGCTTCGGTTCAAATTGATTACCTTATCAATGTAGTGGAGATTAAGCCTTGGCCCCCATCTCAGTCTTTGAGATCGGTTCAGTCCGTATTGCTTCAGTGGCAAAATGGTGATCAAAATTCTGGTTCTTTCCTAACTGTTGCTGGGGATGCGAACATTGCGTTCAACGAGTCCTTCACACTTCCTGTAACTTTACATCCAGATAAAAAGGCCCGCGATAGATTTCAGAAGAATTACTTGGAGTTCTCATTGTATGAGCCTCGTAAAGAAAAAGCCACTAAAGAGCAATTGTTAGGGACAGCTATAATAAATCTATCAGAGTTTGGAGTAATCGAAGACATTTTGCCCATTATTGCTCCACTGAACTTCAAGAAGACTTCCAAAAGCTCACCGCAGCCAGCTCTTTATTTTCAAGTAGAGCCCCTAGATAAGGGCAGTTCGAAGTCCTCACCCAACGTGAGATCCTCCAGAACATCATTGGACCAGGATGGCCAAGAAGCCCATGCTGAATTCAATGGTGACGACTCTGAGATAGCTTCTTTCACCGATGATGATGTTTCTTCTCATTCGTCTCAGACAGTTGCCTCTTCTGTGTTTGATGCTGCAAGGGCTTCACCATCTCAGAGTGATAAGGTAGCTGATTCCACTCACTAATCTTTGTGATCTCTGTCTCATGATTATAGCTTTTTCCTTAATTAGTACCTTGATTGACAATCGTTTTGCCTTGGCTGAATCTTCATTCTGTATTGCTCAAACTGGGTGTATTGTCCCTATTCTAAAACGGTGACATAATTCCTTCTTAAACTGAATGACATTCTCTGTGTGTGTGTTTCCCCACACGTGCGTGGATGTGGTTGTCAGTGCATGTGAGCACACATTTTAGCTGACATTTACAAATCTACAGAATGGATTGGAGGCTGTCAATGAAATTACAGGAATGGATAATCAACACTCAAATGGAAGATTGCCACCATCTTCATCCATTAGCTTATCATTAAATACAGGACACCCAGTAAACAACCATACCTCGAAGTCCAAAGTCCCTGGGAGAAGCAAGACATCATTGCAGAAGAATTCGTATAACCCCTCAATTGAATCTTCTTCCTCATTTGATGGCTATTACAATATGTATGGGGGATCTAGCAACTACATAGAGTGCCTTGAGCAGGAAACTGTGACCCATGGTGTTAGCAAAGAGGGAAAGAATGAAGGAAACAATCCAGAATATAAAAATGAGCCAGTTGATAGATTAACTCAGCCCATACATGATGAAAATGACATTGAAAAACATGCTCCCATTTTTAAGGGCATGGATGTTGCTCAGTTGGAAGTGAATGGGGAGAAGCAAGAAAAAAATTTTGGACAGGATGAACAGTTCCCAACTGAAAAGAGATTGTTTTCAGACTACAAGTCAGTCGATAAATTACCACATAATGGTTTCAGAAGGCTAGGTACAATTGGGGGTGTTACCTCCACTAGGGAAGCACTTGGGGTTCAGATTTCAAATGGTCGACTAAAGCGTGTCAAGTCACAGTTATACTACTCAGCTGGAAGAAGTGAATATTTTGGAAAAAGCCACGACACAGAAAGGGCAACAAATGTACACAAGCCTAAGAATGCTGATAATAGTGCTAAAACTATTCAAGAAACAGAGAACAAAGAATCTGTAGATGGAAGTTCCAATGCTTATGGTCAAAGTGTTGCAGAAAATCAAATGAAAGTGCTGAGAAATGAATCTCATGATTATGGAGCTGAATCATATTCCAGAATTCAGATGCTGGAGGAAGAGTTACGGGAAGCTGCAACTCTCGAGATTGGCCTTTACTCTGTGGTTGCTGAGCATGGGAGTTCTGTTAGCAAGGTTCATGCCCCGGCTCGCCGCCTTTCTAGATTCTATCTTCATGCATGCAAAGAAAAATCCCGAGCTAAACAGGCAAGTGCTGCAAGAGCAGCTATCTCAGGTTTAGTTTTGGTCTCCAAAGCTTGCGGAAACGATGTTCCAAGGTACATATTAGTCCCATAGCTATTTTGTATCAGTGAAGCACATTACTTTAGTCAGTATTGAAAAATAGGAAAGCCAGGACTTGGTGAATGGAAGCATCAGTAAAATAGGAAAGGAAAAAAGAACAAAAAAATGCTGGTGACTAGGAAGAAAAGGTGCACTTTTCTAAGGTTATTGTTACAAGGAATTGTAGAACTTTTAATTTGAGTACTGCTTCAGAAAATTTATATGTGTCAAAGGCAATTGCATATTAAAACTCACACTGGTACATCTGTACCTCCTATGCAGGCTGACTTTCTGGTTGTCGAATGCAATCATGTTGAGAGTTATTGTCATCCAAACTGCTGCAGAAATATCAAATTTAGAGGCGAAGCATGCAGGAAAAAGTGATCGCTCTGTCTCTCACTTGGATTCATGCTTCCCAAAGAGACAAGATAGCTTCTCCTATGTTGAGGAAAGAAATAGCGATTCAGTTGAAGAATCTGATGACTGGGAGGACATAGAAACATTTATTTTTGCATTGGAGAAGGCTGAATCTTGGGTTTTTTCTCGAATTGTTGAGTCTATCTGGTGGCAGGTTAGATTCCTAATTTTTTCTTGCGCTGCATTTAATCTTGTTTTTAATCAATCAAAACTGTCTTCTAAATCAGCAGTGTGCTTATTTTGCCCATGCAGACTATAACTCCACACATGCAGCCGACAGTTGCAAAAACAGGTGGTAGAACTAGGGGCTTAGGTACAAAGAAGAATAATGCAAGTGGATATGGTTTGGGTGATCAAGTGCAGGGTAACTTCTCTATAGAACTTTGGAAGAAGGCTTTCAAAGATGCCTGTGAAAGGCTTTGCCCAATTCGGGCAGGAGGACATGAATGTGGCTGTTTGCCTGTCATGCCAAGATTGGTACGCTTTTACATTGGAATATAGCAATTAATGTGCATTCAATAGTCACTGACAACTCCTGCTGGAGACAAATATTTCTAGTTTTAGTTGATCTACCTGTCATGGCATGTAAACATACTTTTAAGTGTGTTGGTTACGGAGTATTATGATTCAATACAGATCATCAAATAAATAGAGAAGTGGGTTGTCAGTAATATACGTGATCATATAGAGTTATATTAATGTCTTCCAGCACTCTACGATTAGTACCATGCATTCTCTGAGTACTGCATTTTCATTGCTTGATTTACTGGAAATATTTTATCCTGGAATACGTGGATGGTTTTACTAGGATATGGTTGTAATTGACCAGATCATCATTTTAATGTTTATTCTGTGTATTCTAGGTAATGGAGCAGTTAGTGAGTCGATTGGATGTGGCAATGTTCAATGCTATCCTTCGTGAATCAGCGGAAGAAATGCCTTCAGATCCTGTGTCTGACCCCATTAGTGATTCTAGGGTTCTCCCAATTCCAGCTGGAAAATTGAGTTTTGGAGCGGGTGTACAACTGAAAAATGCTGTTAGTAGTGAAGCAGCTCTTCAAAAGTTTTACCTAAAACTTCTGTGCAAGATGTTTGCATTACTTAATGCTTATTTTTGCAATATTTTCTTCTTTTGCGCAGCATTTTGACTTTCAAGTGAAAATGATGGGCGACTTTGCTTCCTTTCAAAATTCCAACTCTGAACATTAGATGTGCAACAAAAGAATCTGATTAGCAATGATTCATCGAATCTAAGAACAGAGCCTCTTTTTCTAACATGTAGCTTCTAGAATTATCTGCCAACCACTTTAAGTCGAAGTTTCAATCAAATGAAGTATTTGTTTTAGATGTTAATTAAATCTGTTATTTTGTTAGTTCTGTTGGAGCGTGCTTGAAGAACACTGCTTTGTAGTTGGCCTATATAATATCAATTGTTTTAGTCATTAGTTGGGATAGCAGGATTCTTTATGTTATTTATTATTATTTTTTTTGGGCTGGTGTTTGTAGATTGGTAACTGGTCTAGGTGGCTCTCAGATCTCTTTGGCATTGAAGATAGTGAATCACTTGACGACAGTGATACTGCTGGTGATGACAAGGGATCTGAATCCTTCAAGGCTTTTCGTTTCCTCAATGCTTTGAGTGATCTCATGATGCTTCCTTTGGAGATGCTTATGGATATACCAACAAGAAAAGAGGTGAATGGCTGCTACAGCAAATTGGTTTGAAAAATTCTAGTTTCCACGTGGCTTTATTCAATTTTCCAGATTTTGCTTCTTTTAGGTTTGCCCACTACTTGGTCCAACAATGATCAAGAAGGTGCTTAGTAATTTTGTTCCAGATGAGTTCTGCCCAAACCCAATTCCACAAAGTGTTATTCATGCACTGGATCATGAGGTTGGTTATCAATTTTAGCAGTCATTTGGAAATTATGTGCCATCTCTTCTCTTGACAGCTGGTTGAATAATGCAGAGCTAGTTCAAGATGGATTTAAAATCCTAGAAAGAGTTAATAGAATAGTATCATGCATGGGGTACCGGCTTTATTTTGCTGATATATTTGCATGTTGATCCAGGATGCTTCGGGTGTTTCTACAGAATCAATCACAAGTCACCCATGCACTGCCCCTCCTACAATCTATTCACCTCCTCCGGCACCTTCACTGCTACGTTCTATTAAAGAGGTTGGAAACAATAATATACAAAGAAGCGGGTCATCATTACTCAAAAAATCGTACACAAGTGATGATGAGCTTGATGAACTTGACACACGCTTGACTAGTATAATTGCCGATAGCTTCCAGAGTTCTGCTGCAAGAAAACTCAACTGGATACCCAGAGGAAACGGCAAAGGAAAGGTCTCCAGGTATCAGCTACTTCGAGAGTTATGGAAAGGTTATGAAGAGTAAAACCACTTGTAATTTGTAAAGCATTATGTATATATAGAGAGAGACACAGAGCGACGAATTCCGTTGAACTGTGGAGATGAAACCTGCAGTGACAGGACTCTTGTGCATTCCTTTTCATTCAAGTTTGTTTGTATTTATTTGGCCCTTTAAGGCATGCCAAACAGTTTTCTAGAAATGTTTATTCATTAAGGATCTCTATGTAATTAACCGAGGAAGGGCTTCCCTTTCCAAGGATCTTCACTCGACTCTGAAACGAGCAGTCCAAGTGCGACAGAGACATCCAATGGGGTTCCATGCATGCTTCCTGAGACATCACAAATAGCAAGGGCATTTTTCAACTTCCCAATTGTACAAAGATCACCAACAATTCTCTTCCATTGCAACTCCGAAACTTGGTTATCGTCGCCATATTTTAAAGATTTAATGATTTCATGAGGAAGAAAAGCACCAGCGGCAATCTTTTGCTTTCCACTCTTGACGCTATCAAGATACTCTCCGAACCGTTCCTCGTCATGTTTAAGGAACAACTCTTCGTAATTCTGCATTGCAATTGAGGGAACTCTGCCCTAAGGAAGCTCATTCCATCTGTCGGCTAAATCTCAGGCAGCTTGAGAGCCTTGCAGAGTGGTACAAGGACTTCCTTTCGTAATCGATCCCGAACTCTATATGCAGAATGAGCATCTTCAATTCCGTCATATTCAGGCAAGTCTGGAGGAAATATTCTCCTTGAGCGTGGACCGATCACATTCAGCATAGAGAGAGGGACGCCATTTTGCTGCAAAGCTTATATTCCTGAGCTTTCCCATCTTCACATTCTCCATATCATTCTTCAAGGCCTCAGCAAAAAGATGTGCGACCTGATTGTGTAAGAACCTGAAAACTGGATCGCTGTTGTACCTCTCTACACACTTCTTGCCTGAAGCAATCCTCTGTTCCTCGGTTGCGATTCTGGGCAGCAGCATTAATTTCTTGCACCATTCTTCTCCGCCGTACAGCTTCCTTTTTGCTATCTCCCTCTTACCTTTTCCTGGAGGTCAGGACCTTTGAGGAGTCTATGCAGAATCTCTGGCAAATCCTTGAAGTACCCGAATTATGCTATTGCGGGAGCATTGCAAGCCAAAGTCTTGGGATGTTTCTGATGAAGCCACAGAGCTGATGAATAAAACCCCTCCCTATCACATTTCCCTGATATGTCATACAGCCACAGAGCTGATGAATAAAGTCGTGGGATGCATGTTTTGACGAGGATCTGATATAATCATATAGCCTATACGGCTATATACGCTCCATAACCTTAAAAAAAAAAAAAAGAACAGAGAGAGCTCTACATATCATATGCCTTCTGTTCAAGTTTTAATGTTGAAGCAACCTTTGATTTCTACCGGATTAATGGGACCAATAGAAGTCGTTCGCTGTACACAAGATACAGGATCTGAAGGGCCTATACAGCGGTTTACGTGGAAAAAGTAAAAGCAACCATTTTTCTTGTAACAAAACAACACGTAAAGTCAACAGAGTTCACAATTCAGTACTTCGAGCATATATGAATTAGTACTTCCATAGAAGCGATATTCGATCATACTAAGGTTGTGTTTGGATTGCATTTTTCATGAAAAAATTACTGTAACGATTCGATGTATGTGAGGAAAAAAGGTAACAGGGAAATGTGATCACGGAAAATGACGTAATTTTTTGACGGAAAACAGCAATCCAAACAAGGCCTAGTGAAGAAAGGCGCAACGGTCGATTGTTCTTCTGGGAAGTTACTTTGCTCCAGAACCTACTACTGGCAACCCTAACACAATAATAGATGGCTGGATTCATTATTGTCACTGTCTTGAAATGCGTCGGTATTATGTTGAGGGTGTTGGATAAATAGCTACAACAATGTTAACACTATCTGCTTGAGTCGTGCGTAGCACTGTCCTAAGAAACTATTTCATGAAATTGAAATGTTTCCCCAGGATTAAACAAGCCTTCTTCTAATTGTTGCTAACAAGAAAAACAAGATTTCTTCTTATTGCAAACTAGAAGGACCAGAACTAGCAAATTAAAACCAGCAGATATATATAAAAGACAAGAAGATGAGAACAGAATTATCAATAGGATATCAACTAACAAAAAATAAAAGAGAGAAAGAGAGAGAGAGAGAGAGCAGCTATCAAAAGATATCAACTGAAGCTGTTGGGGTAATTTTCTGAGGGAGAAGTGGATCCTATTTATAGACTTCAGAGTGAGGTGCAACCCTTCTCACTTCCGATGTGGGACAAAGACTGCAACCCTTCTCACTTGACAATGTGGGACAGAGAAATAATACTTCTCATTTTTCCGATGTGGGACAAAGAATATTTTTGAAATACTATATATTTTACAACAATCTCCCACCTATTTCAAAAAAAATTCTTTGGATAAAGGAAGAATTTTAAAAGTACTCTGCTGGATTTGGTTGAAATGTAATTAGATTGGTGTCTTTTGGACTATAAACCAAACATAGATTGATAAAACATGATCTACAGAATTATTGGTGAAATATAAATTTCTATGAACCAATAACTCTTGATGTATGACAGAGATTTTATCAATCACATTACAACCCATAATTTGCTGTTAACGCGATTTTGCGCTTTTTTTGGCCGTGCGCCTGCCTGGTTATTCATGAGAGCTCTAAAGATTTGACCAATGAATCTTATAGGAGCGACCCCACTACACTCTCATATAGGTGAATTCATCAAGTGTGTATTGCTTTAACTACACCTCCCTAATAGGATATGAATTCATTAAGAGTTTTAACTCATCCTCACAATTACTCAAAGCACTTATCTCTGGAGGGACTTAAATTGAAGTGCTTTACCATCAATATTGACTTGTTATTACCCATATGAACCTACTTCATGGGATCACCAATCACATAGGTTGGGTTACCGTCTCTATTGACAACTTGTTGGTCGAAGTCCCATTTCTTTTGTAGTTTGAAGAATCAATTTTCTTCCTACGGGTTTAGTCAAAGGATCGGCCAAATTCAACTCTGACTTTACATAATCAATGGAAATAATTCCATCTCTAAGCAGCTGCTTTACGACATCATGTCTCAATCTCATGTGTCGACTTTTACAATTATACGATTTATTTTTAGCTATGGCAATCGCTGCTTGACAGTCACAATGTATGGACACAGGAGGCAACAAATCCTTAGTTGAAGGAATATTAGCTAAGAAATTTCTCAACCACTCGGCCTCAGTCCCTGTCAGTTCCAGAGCTACAAACTCTGACTCCATTGTTGATCTAGCAATGATTGTCTGTCTAGCAGATTTCCATGCTATTGCACCACCACCAAGGGTGTACACATAACCACTAGTGGATTTCGTATCATTTGAATCAGAGATCCAATTAGCATCACTGTAACCTTCTAATACAGTGGGAAATCCACTATACAGGATACCAAAATTCATGGTACCTCTCAAATATTTCATTAGTCTGACTAATGCAAACCAATGCTCACGGTTGGGATTATGAGTATATCTACTCAGTCGACATACAGCATAAGCTATATCAGGTCTAGTAAAATTCATCAGATGCATCAGACTCCCAATAATCTGAGCATATTTAGACTGAGCAATTGGGCCACCATTATTTTTCTTTAATTGAGTGTTAGCATCATAAGGAGTACTCACAGGTGTCACATCATAATTTTCAAACTTCCTAAGAAGTCTTTCTGTATAATGTTCTTGTGACAACATTATACCATCACCTTTCCTTATGATTTTAACACCCAATATTATTTTGGCTTCACCCAAATCTTTCATATCAAAATTAGAAGACAAAAAATATTTAGTACTATTTACAATATCTAGACTAGTACCAAATATAAGCATGTCATCCACATATAAACTGATTATCACATATTGATCATTTATATTTTTGACATATACACATTTATCCACTTCTACAGACGAAAATCCATCTTTCATCCATACTTGATCAAATTTCTCATGCCACTGTTTAGGAGCTTGTTTTAGGCCATAAAGAGATTTAATTAGTTTACAAACCTTATTTTCTTGTCCAGATACAATACATCCCTCAGGTTGAAACATATAAATTTCTTCTTCTAAGTCACCATTTAAAAAGGCTGTTTTGACATCCATTTGATGAATAACAAGTTTATGGATAGAAGCTAAAGCAAATAAAACTCGAATAGACGCAATTCTAGTTACTGGTGCAAATGTATCAAAATAGTCAATATTTTGTTTTTGAGAAAATCCTTTTGCTACTAAACGAGCTTTGTACTTTTCTATAGAGCCATCAGAGTTATATTTTCTTTTAAAAATCCATTTGCAACCAATAGGTTTTGCACCAGGAGGTAAGTCTACCAAAATCCAAGTTTTATTTGACAAGATAGAATCAATTTCAGATTTAATTGCTTCTTTCCAAAATTTACACTCAGGAGAAGAAATAGCATCGGAGTATGTTAAAGGATCATTATCAACAAGAAAGGTTTGGAAATCTTTTCCAAATGAAAATTCTTTTCTTGGCCTTTTGCTCCTTCTTAATTCCTCAATTGGAATAATTTCCTTATTTATTTCAACAGGTGCATGAGAAATTTTACTAGACAGTGGAAAAATATGTTCAAAAAATTCTGCATTCTTTGTCTCAATAATTGTATTACAATCAAGTATATCACTTCTTAACACAAGAAATCTATATGCAGCACTATGTTCAGCATATCCAATAAACATACAATCAGAAGTTTTAGAACCTATTTTCCTTTTCTTAGGTTCAGGCAACAAGACTTTAGCAAGACACCCCCAAACTTTTAAATATTTCAAATTTGGTTTATAATTTTTCCATAACTCATAAGGTGTTTTGCCAGTCTTTTTATGTGGGATTCTATTTTGTAAGTGACATGCAGATAATATAGCTTCTCCCCATAAATTATCTGGAGCATGAGAACTAATTAACATAGAGTTCATCATTTCTTTTAACGTTCTATTTTTCCTTTCAGCTACTCCATTAGATTCTGGTGAATAAGGTGGAGTTATTTCATGTATTATGCCTTCCTGTTCACAAAGGTTATCTAAAGTTAAATATTCTCCACCCCTATCTGATCTAATTCTTTTTATCCTTTTATTAAGTTGATTTTCTACTTCAGACTTATAGGATAAAAAGGCATTATAAGTATCATCTTTATTTCTAAGTAAATAAACTTTGGTATATCTAGAATAGTCATCTATAAAGGTGACATAATACCTTTTCCCACCTCTAGTCATTGTTTGTTTTAAATCACCTAAATCAGTATGAATTAAATTTAATAACTCAGTTTCTCTATGGACAGTTATACAACTTTTCTTTGTTATTTTAGCTTCTGCACATATTTCACATTTGTCCATATTATCATTAATACCAGAAATTAGGCCACATGATTGCATTTTCTTTATATAACCAATATTAACATGTCCTAATCTAGCATGCCATAAAGAAATGGAATCAACAATATAAGCAGAAGAAGATGCATTTTCATTGATCACATTGGAAATATTAAGTACAAAAAGTCCCTGATTACAATAGCCTTTCCCAACAAACACATTATTTCTTGTCATTATAATCTTATCAGATTCGAATGACACTTTCACCCCAACTTTTCCAAGCAAAGCCACAGAAACAAGATTTGCCCGAATATTTGGAACATGCAGCACATCATTAAGAGCCAAAGTATTTCCTGAAGTGAGTTTCAATAGTACTTTGCCCTTACCCAGAACTTTAGCAGTTCGTGAGTCTGCAAGGTAGACTACTTTTTCATCATCCCCTATTGAAGTATAGGAGGAAAACGCTTCTCGATTTGCACATATGTGCCGAGTAGCCCCAGAGTCTACCACCCATTCTTTAACATTAGCTGCAATGTTCACTTGAGAGATGACTGCAGCAATTATTTCATCTCCTTCGGTTAAATTAACCTTAGGAGGATTACCATTTGCTTTGTCACCTTTATTGTATCTATACAGGGCAGCATAATGTTCTGATTTTCTACAATAATGGCAATTGCCTTTCTTTTTCTTAAAGTTGGGAATATTAGGCTTGTAATTGGGATTTTTTGGTCTATTATACTGGGACTTATTGGCTTGCACATAGCTACAATACACATCAAATAATTCATTTAAAAGTGTTTGTAAAATAGTATTTCGACATACCTTATTGGCATATTTCCACGACTCTTGTATCTTGACATCTATGGTGGCAGCAGGTTGAGATTCCGTCAGTGCATAGGCCACTCCATGTATGTCGAGTAGAGAGTAGACACGTTCTTGCCACCTTTTGAAGTTTTCGTCAACAAAAACCTCAATTCTAGAGACGTCAGGAAATGGCTTCGCAAAAGGTAGTGTCACTGCAACAGTTGCTGATGAAGACTGTGGGGTGCTAACATTGTCAGATGCCATAGTTTCTTAGATTGTTGGATAAATGGCTACAACAATGTTAACACTATCTGCTTGAGTCGTGCGTAGCACTGTCCTAAGAAACTATTTCATGAAATTGAAATGTTTCCCCAGGATTAAACAAGTCTTCTTCTATTTATTGCGAACAAGAAAGACAACCTTTCTTCTTGTTGCAAACTAGAAGGACCAGAACTAGCAAATTAAAACCAGCAGATATATATATAAAAAGAAGATGAGAACAGAATTATCAGGAAGGATATCAACTAACAAAAAATAAAAGAGAGAGAGAGAGAGAGAGAGAGCAGCTATCAAAAGATATCAACTGAAGCTGCTGGGGTGATTTTCTGAGGGAGAATGGATCCTATTTATAGACTTCAGAGTGAGGTGCAACCCTTCTCACTTCCGATGTGGGACAAAGACTGCAACCCTTCTCACTTCTCAATGTGGGACAGAGAAAATAATACTTCTCATTTTTCCGATGTGGGACAAAGAATATTTTTGAAATACTATATATTTTACAACAGAGGGTGTTAAGAAGGGTTTATCCTTTCAAATCATTCCTTGATCCGCAAGTTATCCGTCTTGCAAAATTACATACACGTCCTTGATCACTCATGATTTGCTTTGCTGTAAGGGTCAGTCTTGCCAGCAATTTAAATTGGAGGGTTTAAAAAGACTTTTTCCATTCTCATCTTCACGAGACAATTATTCAAGCTATTGTCCTGCCAACTCCCAAGAACTTGATCAGCAAGGAAGGTGGATTTTGAGCCAATGCAAGTTAGTTTGTTCCACGCGCAAGGCCATTACATGATAACGAAGAAATTGAGCTTGACTCAACAAAAAATGCCATGCACTCGAACCTCCTTTCAGTTTTCACTTCCATTCATTCAAATCTGATTAAATTGAAGGAATATCATCCAGTAAACACTGCACAAACGGTTTCTTCAGTTAAACACTTCCATTCATTCAGATTTGATTAAATTGAAGGAACATCACCCAGTAAACACAGCACGATCACTGGCTAACTGCAGGCTGCAGCTTAGTCCTGCCATACTACAAGCCAAACAGAATTTACTTCCGCATGACTAGTTACTGTCAATCATCGAGCATCTCACCATCTGTTTTTCCTGCCAAAAAGAGAAGAGGCAAAATGGTGAGAGCCAAGTAGAGCAACTCCGGATTACTTTCTTAGCTGTCTATACAAAACATGATCAAGTTCCTCACAAAACCTACGAGTCACGATGTATGGAATGGATGGTTAATACAGTAGGCCCTTGATGAAAAGGCACAACTTTAATTTAACTTTCAATAAACTACTACAAAATACCAAATTCCATCCATGTTGAGGCGCTCAAAATATATCAGCCCTTAAGACATAGCCTGCCAACTATCATACAATTAAGGTGCAAAAAGCTTACATGCACACTTATTTTATTTTAATATCCTAATTGCTAACCACATATGATTTTCCATTGTAACTGCTACTTTACTTCTCAGGCTTTTCTTAGAAAAATGGCTCGGCATAGCTTAGATATGAGATGAACCGCGTTTTAGCAACTGAGTGTGGTAAGTATGATGAAATTGGAGTGCAACCAACAAATGAAACTGCTACAATAATTTTGATTGACAAATCATGAATGCCAAATTTACCAATTGGAATAGGAAATCATTAGCATTTGGTGGCTGTTGACGAGGCATAAAAACACATTACCATGCGATGCACCTTAACAAGAAAAAACAAGTAATATAAGCTAGAAATTCTACCTTTTTAACTGTAGGCCTCCAAACTGGTTCTTTAATGTGTCATAATGCCCATAACCATGATATAGAACACGCACTGGATTTTCCTTTCCATATTCTTGACCATACTCGGCTATTACTTTGAGGGAATTTGTCTTCTTATCCAACATATGCACTGTGATAGGAACCCTGAATCAAAAATTTAGATTAGCTTCTCAGGTATCAATACCATGAGCACTACCAACCTTCAACTGGATAGGCACGTTACAATGTTTGAATTCTTTCATTTATAGCGTGGGCATGGATAGGTTAAATCAGAGAAATACGGTAGACCTACTGTAAAACATGGGAAGACATTAGTAGCTCAGGCTCTCCTCCCCAACTATGGGGCCGCCTCATTTTCATAACATACGTGTCAAAATCACCTTCAACAAACCTGAAAAGCAACAAATTTCCCTTGAGAACAAACTTTGTTTTTGTACTTGAAAACATGCTTGAGCTGTGATAGATAACATTAGACCTACTGTAAAACATGGGAAGACATTAGTAGCTCAGGCTCTCCTCCCCAACTATGGGGCAGCCTCATTTGCATAACATACGTGTCAAAATCACCTTCAACAAACCTGAAAAGCAACAAATTTCCCTTGAGAACAAACTTTGTTTTTGTACTTGAAAACATGCTTGAGGTGTGATAGATAACACTTCTCAGGACATCCCGGATGTGTTCGAGGATAACAGAGCTCTGGTCATACTGAGACCCAAGTTGTGCAAGAATGAATTGAAAGACAAATTTTCAAAGGTCCAGGTTAGCACGAACCCCAAAGGTCAAGGTTTGGAAGAAAAAGAAATGTATGGACTTGCTATGGCCTTGATCAATACAGCCAGTACTGCCAGAATGACTCGAAAGAAAAATCAAACTTCAAACGTGAAGCTGGATGTTGAACTGATTAACATGATTTCAAAAAGGTCAATTGTTCAGAAGATATGCATGGACTTGCCACGGACTTCGTCAAAGTGTAGTAAACCAAGCAAAAGAGCAGTATCCCAAAGGCATATACGCAAGTCTTACCACTCTGTATCTGCTCGTCTTTTGATAAGTTCATCTGTCACCTGTAAAAACAGAGTTGCATATGTTGGTCAAAAGAACTCATGATAACCAAAAGTTTAGTCGGATCGTTACTAAGTTTTGGTTCTTCTGCAATACAGAGCTGTTAGCTGGAAGGACACCATAGGCAGACAGAACTTTTACTTTGAGGGAGCAAAGTATTGATCATGGACATAACAGAGTGCGACAGAAATTGTTTGAAAAACTTATTAGTCAAGGAAAACCTGTGTTTTTGAAAGGAAACTTGTAGAAACTCTTGGAATGGTCAACCTCGTCAGATGTTCAATCGCCTTAACATTCTCTATAATTTAGTTACTCGTGTCACTTAGAACACAGCGAAAAGAAAAAGTATCATTGTGCCACAAGTCAACTGTGAATTAAGTAGTGATAGACGAAATGTGGGGTTAACATTTAATTCAAACTGGAGCAAAAAAGAAATGCTGTACAGGTATTAAGTCGAATCCCAGCTAGACAAGTAGTATTAAGTTGATCCTAAAGCACCAGAGTCCAAGAATTAGGAAGAGCAGAAGAAAGCTAATGATTTACTTTGGCTCTGAGCTCATCAGCCAGCTCTCTCTCATCGGCTTCACTTGGAGATGGCTTTCCTAATCTCAAACAATCACCATGGACCACAGACCTGAACAAGCATCTCCCATCTCCAGGTATCCCTGCAGCAAAGTGGTGCAAAAAGACCATTTGCCGTGGTTGACATTATTAGGGCAGCTTATGTAACAACAACATCAAAGCATATTGTTGATCCAAAATAACAGGACTGCAAGCAAAGACTATATTTGCCGTAACGTTTCAAACTGCATACCATATCATTCATCATGCAGGATGAACGTAACGTTATTGTAATGTTTTACAATTCTAACATAATAGGAACGTAAAAATATATGTGAGGAAGAAATGGATGAAAACGCAAAGTACTTGTTGCTCATGAAGATGATATCCCACTTATTCAAAAGCAAAAATAGAATAACCGAAAAAAAAAAAAAAAAAGTGTGACAGCACTCGCACACCTAAACCAAAAGCCATTACGATTACCAGATTTTATTCGCTCCTCAAACATCATAAAGATGGACCAGCAAATGATCTAGTCACTGTATTTCCCGTTTTCTCTTTTTGATAACTTGAATTTTTTTTTAAAACAAATAAATAAATATATAGCAACACAACTCAATTAAGCAAAAGAAAAATGCTGCAATGCAAGAAAAGAATCATAAAGCCAAGCCAATGAGTTGAAGCCAAGCATCCATGCCAGAGTTATTATGACGTAAGAAATGGTAAATGCCACATAAAAATTTTTTCAAAAAAAAAAAACAGAGAGAGAGAGAGGAACAAATAAATAACAATAAGCAGCAGATACGAATGGTGCGGAAGTGGTTACCAAACTTCCAATCTCGTTTCGGCATGAGATCAAAGATGTTTCCAACTCTTTCTTTTTTTTGGCAATTTAAATGGAGTACTGTACGTAGTTCATGTTTTTATGGAATTTACCTTTTTGTAAATTCGAAAATACATTATTCTGATTCTGTAGCAGCGAGACGGGGAGAGGCAGACTTTCATCAGAAGAAGAAGAGAATCAGATTCGATTCAACGCGAGAAGAGCAAGAATCGACTGAGTGAGGGGGCTGAGTTACAATATTGAGGCGCGACTGACTCGGGAAGCGGAGGCACGATGGGCTCACTGCATTGTGGGCTTTTGTTTTAGGGCCGCAGATGTGGGCTTTTATTCTTAGTACGAAAATGTACACGTGTTCTATTGTTTTATTAGTGTGTCATGATTTCGAATTTTTCATGAGCGAAATTTATTTGGATTGCACGTTATTTATACATACTGCTGATTTACTTGTATGATCAATACATTTTTTAAATTTCACATACATCATATAAAAAATTACTACAATATTTTTTTATAAAATTATCTCAAACAATGAATCTACTAAAACAAATTAATAAGAGCATTAATAGTTGTAATTTCCATCTCCAAAGCAGGGACCTAAAGCGAAAGGAAGTCACTGTGCTTGTAACTTAATAGACATCCGTCCTATCTTTTGAGAAGAGAGTTAGGGGGGGAAAATAGAAAAGGTCAATCTTTCGAATAAGGAAGAAGAACGTAATTGTAATAAAATTAAGAAAAGAAGCAAAAAAAAAAAAAGAACGCAAGAAAATTGCTGAAAAAGCTTCTCCTTAGAAATGCTTGACCTTCTTGTCGCACAAGCTTGGGCAAACCCTTGACCTTGTGGTTCTCTTCTTTTTTTCTAGACTTGGAGAGCTTTGCAATTTGTAGGATTATTAAATCAAAAGTCTTTTTAGAATTTATTTATTTAGTTAGGAAACTACTTATTTTGTTGTTTAGTTGTAATTTCCTAGTAGTAGTTGCAATAAAAGCCTTCAAAGTTCTTCTCTGTTTTTTTTTTTCCTCTGTTTCTTTGTTTTGTATGCGGGTCTCGAGATTTATTTAGGCTTTGTTTGGATTGCTTATTTCCGTCGAAAAATATTGGGAGTGTTTGGATACCTACGCTATCTCAAATAATATTTTGCTTGCATCATAAACACATTTCCCAACCTATCTTTTTATATTCCCAATTACCTTTTTATCTCACATACATCACATCACAAAAAGTGCTACAGTAATTATTCCAAATAATATTTCAAATAATACACTATCCAAACAAACTATTGTCGTTTTCCGTGATCACATTTCCCTATCACCTTTTTCCCTTACATATATCAAATCGCTACAGTAATTTTTCCATGAAAAATGACGGAAAATGCAATCCAAACACAACCTTTGTCTTCCCGTGGTTTCGTTGAATCGAGAAAGCATATTTATTGTGTTTCATATAGAGTAGTTTGATTAATATGTATGTTTGTTTGTTTGGATAAGAGGTTATTTGGATGATTTATTTGAAATAATTATTGTAACATTTTTTATGATGTGAGATAAAAAAAGACGATTGAGATTTATGAAGTAAATTATTTTGTTTCAAATTATCTCAATCCAAACACTCATTTTATTATTATTTTGTTTTACGGGCCTACACAACTGCATATAAATGGTATTTTCTTGGTATTTTCTTTTGTGTCGACCACGCCACTATAATATGTTTTGATACTCTGAAATTTCAAATGGCTTCTGCTGAAAGTTCCACACTCAAATTTAGACGTATTATAAAAGCGCAAGTCTCGAACGCCCCCCGTCCCAAATGCAGCAGCCTCGTATACATAACAAGTTTTCTGCCGCCTAACAGAGCAAAGTTCCAACCAAAAAAAAAAAAAAAAAAACAGTGCAAAGTTTAAAACACGAGATCGAGATATCCTATCCACCCATCATGTTTTCCCTAAACAGTGGCATTCCTTCAACAACGTCGGTTCTATCAGCATACACAACTTTTGCTGCATCCGCTGTTCTAGTGCGCACCGTGCTCAATGAAGTCCAGAGCATGACTAGCCGGCTTATACCCCAACAACTCCAAGACAAGCTCTTCACCAAAATTGGATCCCTTTTTGGGAATCTCTCTTCCCAGATGTGTATAACCATTTCTGATCACAATGGCATCACCCCGAATGAGATGTTCGAGGCTTGTGAAACTTATTTAAGAGGAAACATAAGCCCGTCGGTCCACCGGCTCAAGGTAGTGAAGGAGCCAAAAGCAGAGAAATTGTCCGTCAACATAAGCGATGGCGAGACAACTTTTGACGTATTCGAGGGGATACAGCTTGTTTGGAGATTGAATTGCTCTGAGACTCAGAAGACTGGCACCGACTATGATGGCTACTTCTCTTCTGAAAGGGTGGAACGTCGATCGTTTGAGCTTTTCTTTAACAAGAAGCACAAGGATAAGGTATTAGGATCTTACCTGCCCTACGTGCTTGAAAGATCGAAAGCCATCAACGGAGAGAACAAAGTGATAAAGCTGTACTCGGGTGGAAATTGGTACGTGGATGTTAATCTCCAACATCCATCCACGTTTGACACGCTGGCAATGGATCCAGAGGTTAAGAAAGAATTGATGCAGGACTTGGATAGATTTGTGAGGAGGAGGACTTTCTATAAGAGGGTTGGGAAGGCTTGGAAAAGAGGATACTTGTTGTATGGTCCTCCAGGAACCGGCAAGTCCAGCTTGGTTGCTGCCATGGCGAACTATCTCAAATTCCACATCTATGACTTGGAGCTTTCCAGTGTGCGAGGCAACAACGACCTTAGAAGTCTACTGGTTTCGACTCAAAACCGATCAATCCTTGTCATTGAGGACATTGATTGCAGCATTGAGATGCAGAACAGAGAAGCTGGCCAATCCGGAAGATGCAGTGGTGAGATTCAGGTGATCCTCTATTTAAAGCTTTATTTATTATTCAAAAGCCTTTCACCTTTACTGAGTCTTCTTCCTCTGCATGTAGCCAAGAAATATCGTGCTATATCTTTAGAAATTAATTGATCTTATTTGGCCTGGCAGCTAACATTATCAGGATTGCTGAATTTTATCGATGGGCTGTGGTCGAGTTGCGGTGATGAAAGAATAGTTGTGTTCACAACCAACTACAAAGAAAGGCTGGATCCTGCACTGTTAAGGCCTGGACGGATGGACATGCATATTCATTTGTCATATTGCACTCCTGGTGGATTCAGGATCTTGGCTTCCAATTATCTTGGTTTGAAGGATCACGACCGGTTTAGTGAAATTGAAGAGCTCATAGCAGAAGTGGAGGTAACCGCTGCTGAGATTGCGGAAGAGCTCATGAAAAGTGAAGAAATTGACTTTGTACTTGCGGGACTCGTTGCTTTCCTTGAGAAGAAAAAGAAGGAAAAGGCCAAGTCCAATATTGGCAAAGAGGACGAAGTTAAGGGTAACAAGAAAGAGGAGGACGTAAAGTTACCAAGGAGAAGTAGGAGGAAGAGAAGCAGAAAATCCAGGATATGATGGTTCCATTTATTTACAATCTGTTTATGTAGCTTGTGTTCTTTTCTTTGTTTTTTTCCCTTCCTTTCTTTCTTTCTTTCTTTCTTTTTCTTCTGCGTCTTTTTCTTTCTTTTGTATCGTGTGGATACGAAAGTACTAGTAATAAATATCTTTTGAAGTAGTATCCGAGTTCACACTAATTGGCTATTGGCATGTTGGTTGTGAAGTATACCTCAACATTTAAATAAACCTAAATCGGAAAAAGAACTAAATCTGAAATTTGTGGTACTTGCATGCGTCAGTCATTACTTAGACAGAGACCATAATGTCTTGTTTCAAACTTTGAAATTACTACAAATATTCCATCCATTTATAGAATATTCTCCTCATGAAAATGCCTTTTAAAAGCTCCACCACCTCCTCAAAACAGAAAAAAAAAAAAAAGTGATGTTAGCACCAGAAAGATGTAAGCAACATAATTGATCACTGTAATTAGCCTGAGATGTACAAGTTTCTCGGATATGCTAAAAGCCAGTCATGATCTAAGAAAGCAAAACAAATGACAGCCTCCCATTTTCCTGGACTCGTTCCTTACAAAGCGAATAAGACCAATAAGGTAGAAACTTTGGAAGATTGACTGGTTCTTTCTCATCCTTCATTCAAGAGTTATTGGAACTGAGATGGTCAAATTTGATCCCTTTAATTAACACCTTTAACAATAGCGCTGCGCTCGATTGAACTATATTGACTCAGAACTTCTCATTTTATGGTAGCATGTGCCCTCGTCATCTGTGGTAGAAAGTAAATAGAGCTGCTTTTATTCCCTCAGGAACCAACAATCGCTGCCAGAACGATGTTGAGACGTCGTCCATTACATACGTTTGTAGCGTCAATTTTAGCCATTATTCACAGTGCCTGCGGTAAAGCACAGGGACTAAATGGACCTATGGGATCATTGACGACAAAAACAACCAAATTCATCAGTTCTACCTTTCCGTTTATATATTCTATGCAGTATCAATGCCTAGCAATCTTGTCCTTTGCTGATGATCACATTCTAGCCATTGAAAACATGGTAGAAAACATTTTTCCACCATCAACGCATTTATTCAACGGGATTGACAAGCTTGTTTACAATGCAGAATATTTACCAGGAAGGTTTGACGATGCCATGAATGCAATCCCTATAATTATGCACCAAGTTCCATTTCTTGATTGGGTAGTGATGCATCTCATATCATGGCTAAATTTTCTAATCTCTACTCTGATGAATTGGGGATCAAAGAATACACAAGAGAAGGATATAATGATTGATATAGTCTGCAACAATCCCGGACCTGGGCTAGACATTTCGATGGATAAGGCAGCCTCCCACAAAGAGAATGATGAGTTTCCTTCGATGTCCACATCTCATCCTTCACGAGAAATGGCCAAAGAATTTGAAAGCGAAAAGGGTTGCGTTCAAATGCCAAAAATCGCACAATGTCAACTCAACGAAGATACAGAGTCACCTCCAGAACTATCCAAGGGGTCTTTCTACAAGCCATTCCAAGATGAGATGAGGTGCAGTTACAAGGAAATGCTTGAAAAGGGAACAAAGGGAAATGCTGAAACTAATGAGGACAATCATAATAACTCACAATTTGAAACTCCTCGAAGCACAATCAGTGAAGGAGGAGTTGAAATAGACAGAGAGAAAGACCTACAGGAAAGCATTGCGGGATTTGACCTGGATGATCCAATTTTAGAACTATACGAAGCAAGCTGGCACCTGAAATAAATCCAGTAAGTATCAAATTCAGGTATTGCTGCTATGGCAATCAGATAACACACCTGAAATGATTTGCGTGGTAGATACCCGTTTGGCAAACAAGTTTTTGATCAAGTTTGTCTTCTGCAAGTTTTTTAACAACTTTAGCTACAATAACCTCAAAAAATTCCTAGAAGTTTTTAAACTATGCACTTCAAAATATCCAAAAATTTACACACTTCAAAAATTTTTCCTATAACTTTTACAGTAAGCTACAGTTAAAATTTTAAACAAATACCCAAAAAAATCATTTGCCAAACAGTACCCTAGGAGAAACATGGTAGTTGCCTAGTTCTGATCATTGATCAGCAGCCGCAGAATATAGCATGATTACGAGTTCGCATGCATTTCTACAGTGCTGAAACTTGTAATGTTGTTTTTTATAGTACATTTTATGATATATGGACTGTATGCAGAGTTGCATTTGTCCTACAAATCGTTGATGAAACAAGCTCTTTTTAACAAGCTTTTTTTATTTACAATTGATTATTCGCCCTGCTTCTGAACACTTTTAACTTCCGCAAACGACAATCTTGGCAGAATCTATGAAGAAAAGCAAACAAAGGTTGGGAGAAAAATAAACTTCCCAAGCAAAGTGACAATTGATACCTTTTTTTTTTTGGAGCAAAAACAATTGCGTGGTTGAAATGAAAGGAAAAGAGCTTATTACAAGTCTTGTGCGAAAGAAGGGGCCAGGAGAATCCATGAGGTTGGACATAGAAGACAACATAGAAAATGCTGAGACACAACTTGTAAGTAAGCGTTGCGATTGACCAAAAAAATGATAACGCCCACCGTGGGGCTCGAACCCACGACCACAAGGTTAAGAGCCTTGCGCTCTACCGACTGAGCTAGACGGGCTTGTTACGAGTTAAACACATGACCAGCTATTGACGTTTTAAAATGACATTTCCAGCAATAAACCCAGCCCGGCCTGACAATCGAACCAATCAAACCAATGAACCGGCTATTAGGCCGAGCTGAGTTTCTAATTAAACTGTTTAAACATAAGAACCGTTGACTGGTAAATGACCCAACGATTCAACCGGAACCTGACCAAATTTTGTTCACAAACCAGGTTTTGCGGAAAAATTTTTAGTTAACTTTTATTAAGACTCAAACTTGGGAACTTAAGCATATAACTAGAGCATAGTTACCACCAGGCCACTTACCAAATGTTAGTAGAGTAACTTTCTTATGATATATGAATATTTTATTAATTCTATCTTTTTTTTAATTTCTCTAAAATAAATTTATTTGGAATCTTTTAATAAAAACTTATAACATTCCAAACTCTATAAGTTATAAAATGGATTTCAAAAATAACATATTACATAATTCATGTTAAAGGCAAATATTGTTTTTAATAATTTTTTGCACTTAAAATTCGTAAATAAGCTAAATAATTATATTAAATACAGATAAAATTTTACACTTGAAATTTGGTAGATTGCTAAATAAATTTATATTTTATTGATTTTTATATAAATTAATTATTCTATAGTGAATTAAATTAAATGAACATTTACTATGACATTTTTATTACAATTTATATCATATATTTTATATCAAAATTTATGAAACATAATATTTAAATACATTTAGTGATTCACTGGTTCAACCACTCATCCATTGATTAAATCAGTGATCCGTTAACTCCCCTCCTCTGCTGGGTTCCTTTCCAAGCCGGATATAATAACTATGCCAGCGATGCAAGGAGGCATTGAAGGGTCCAAACAAAGAAATCGATCCCTCCCTGCGTCAACTCATTGAAAGATGCAACAACTCACTTCCAGCTCATGCTCAACAAACAACACCACAACGGCGACGTGAAAGAGAAATCTAAGAAATAATGAAGGAAAATTCACGAGATCGCCTTCCCTTTGAATAGCATGCCATCTAACTCTTCAATTGGTCGCGATGCAAGTTTACACCATTTACAAACTCCCGTTCTTTAAGTACCAGGAGATTCACTTTTAAAACTTCAACTAAGGGCTCACTTTTGGGTAGTTGTACGCTATTCTATCAGGAAGATAAAGCAAGCAAAATTTAGTGGCTATAGCCTTACAGGAACCTGTACATATCTTCTGTGGGAAACAGGAAACTGGAAAACACGATGCCTATTGAATAGGACAGAACTAATTAATACAAAGGAGAGATGCGTGATTTAATGTACAAGATTGTCAGCAAAGGAACTAAGAAGAGTCTCTTAACACTGGTATACAGAAAAACTCTTGTTCTTCCACCAAAAACTCCAGGCTCTTCCCACTTTTCTTCTGGAAACTGATTTGCATAGTGGTTTTGCATCTTCTGTGGTTACGGGAATCTCACTACATTCAGGCTGCAGCGCAGCCTGGACAGCGGATGGCTCCCGCTGCCTCTGCTCACGAAACAACATTAAGAGCTTCTGAGCTTTCTGTTTTCCTCTCGTCGTCCCATTCACAGAAATGCAAACCAAAGAAGGAATCACTCCTTCTTGAAGGACCATTTGACTGCACTTCTCATTGCCATTGCATAGTATTAAAAGACATGCAGCAGCTTGCTCCTGCTCAACAGGTTCACCAACATCCAAAATAGTAGCAAGCCCACTGACAAGGCCAGAAGAAGATATGATTTCCTCACGCGCTGATCTACTTGCAGCCAAGTTTATGACAACCGCAATGGATTTCTCTGTCCAAGAATGGTCACCCGAATTTGTGATAAGGGCTTGCAAACTGTCAATGACACCAGCTGATAGAAGGGGGGGAATATTGGCTTGGTGGCCAGAAAGATTATAAAGGGCATGGAGCGAATCAAGCCTACATTGTACATCAGGTTGATGCTGAAGAACCTGAATCAAGAAAGGGACAGCTTCACTGGATCCAATAATGGGCTTGGCCTCTTCAAGGCAGGACAGGTTAAGGTAAAGGGCTGTTGCAGCTCCAGCACATTTGCGATTAACGATCATCTTCCCCAGCAATTCAAGCACTTTTCCTTCCAGCATCAAGTCCTTGTTTCTGAAAAGCAGCATAGTGAAATTGAATAAGAACTTCCAGTGTATAATAATCTATTCTAATAATAATCCATTCTAATAATAAGCACCTATAAACTGCAATATAACCTCTATCCCGCGTCTCTCTAGTTGATAACAATGTCCAAAATTCAAGACATCAAGATTTACAAAGCAAGTACCTGTTATTATTCACAGCCAGATTGAAAAGAGCCATGGTTCCAACTTCCTGAGCTGTCTCATTCCTTGCTTGCAAGGCCGAGTCCAAAAACCGCAATAATGCTTCAACAAAACCATTTGCCCCCATGTATATTCTGGCTTCTTCATCATCCTTTAGCAAGTGCCTTATCTGTTCTACCACTTTGCACTGTTTTGTTATGTTGTCTTCTTTTTCTAAGATGACCAAAAAGTCTTTATACCTTTCGAATAAATTGACCCCACATTCATGCTCCTGTGGAGAAACATCTTCAACTTCATTTCCTTCAGCTTCCTCAATAACACCACTATCCTCCAAGGGTACCACCTTCACACCCTTGAACTTGAAGTACCCAACATTATCGGTTAATTTTGATTTTGCAGTATCACTGTCTGACAGAGCCAATCTCCAGTAGTTCAGATCAAGAGACTCGGGAGGGCCATCTGGAACAGGAACTCCATTCTGTTCACACCAACTAGCAACTAGACCCTTTACACAGTAATTTGGAGTCAATCCAAGATGACACAGCTGCTGCTGAGTTTTTGGGCATGTCTTGTGCCCATCGCTGAACCACTTCTCTATGCAGATTCTTTCATACGTCTGTCCAGAAGCAATAATTACAGGATCATACATGAGTTGCAATGATATTGGGCACCTTAATTCTTCAGGAGGGACAGGAATCTGCCCAGATCTCCTGAAGTTTGGCTTGAAGTTAAAAGAGCTGAGTTTTGAGAGTTGTCTGTCAAAGGCATGGCCATTAATTCCAGGCCCACTACCATCCTCAAATGATCCTTGAACAGTTGGAGAACAAGGTGTAGAACCCTGTGAGTCATTATCATCCGAAAATTCATTTCTAAATAATTTTGAGTATTTTCTCATTAGATGCAAAAGATAAGCCACAATTGATTCCTTTCTTTTGTCTTCCTCAGCACGAGCTCTGTCTATAAGTTTCTTCAAAGCCCGTCTCTCTCTAAGTGCAGCTCTGGAAGATGTGATACCAAGTCTAGAAGCAGCCTGGTGAAAAGATTCAAGTTCACCAGTGTCGTTAGAGTTGTTGAATTTTCTACCTTGCTGGAGCAATGCAATTATCTCATCACCAACTTGTTTCTCCATCGAATCAAGTGAGAATTCAATCCCCATAAGATCAATCAAAATTTCTGAAATCTGAAATTAGAAAAAGGCTGGGTTGACATCGCTTCCTTCAAGAAGAACCAATGAAATACAAAAGGAGAATGCACACTACTAGGTTAAGAACTTAAATGAAAAGCAATAGAAGAGGAGGAGGAGATGACTGCAACATTTACGATGCATAAGGCAGATAGATTTACAGGATGAGGCTCAAAAGTCCAGAAGATATGGTAAAATTTGAACAAACCAATGTCCGAAATGCTCAAATCTCAAGTTGCCCCGAAAAAATAGCTAAAACATTATTTTTCAACCAGTTTAAAAGTAGCAAAACCACATACTTATCTTGATCCATAAATCGTCTTTGCAATACACAAGCACTTCAAATGTCCATTAATGAAATATTAATGATGCTTAATTAATACATGCAAGACTGATTAGAGCATACATGTATTGGACCACATCAAAGACTAACAGTAGTGGCAGGATCAAGTTAGATCACTAAAAGAAAGAACCAATATAAACGTTACCTGTGAACCAATAGCTTGTGGAACAATATCTTCGACACGCCTCAGACCATCTTCAAGAGCGCATCTTGCCTTTTCGAACTTTAGAACAACAGAGTCACCAGTTATAGCCTGATCAAAAGAATGTGTAAGTGAATAAGTGGAGAAAGAAGAAATAAAATTCGACGGCTTTCAGTATGATAAAGTCCAAAATTCCAACTATGAGGAATAGCATGCAAGTCATTGTACTATCAGAAAAACAGCTGAGTCGCCACTGTTTTCACGCAATCAAATATTTCCTAGTAGCTGTCTATCCAAATAACAGGAAAGCGAGGAGATAAATCGTATCTTCTGGTTACCAAAATGACAACCAGAAAAAAACGAATAGTTCACTAAATGGCAAATGCAGGTTAGATTTTTTATGACGTTTAGTGTGAGGGGACGAATTGAGAACCAAAGTCAAGAAAAAAATAGCTTAGATAAACACCACATGTTAAACAAGATCACAGCCATACCAAGTAAAGTTTACTACACTCTGCACAGTGTTGAAGAATATTCTTCGTCTTCTCAAGGGCAATGTGCAATGCACACAATGCTTGAATGCCTGATGTACTTCTTGGCCTTGCTGCTTCCAAGTCAGGAAATATCCCCAATACTTTAGCATAAATTGCTGATAAACTCTTACACATCCCTCCATGCAACTACAAAACCAACCACATTTTTTGTCTTTTTGTCAATTGCTTGCAACATTCATGATTTACAATAAACACCTTAGAAAGTTGTGATTGATATTACATAACACAACAAAAGAGTTAAACCATCAAAGATGCTGCAACAAATTGGATTCAATGCCCTCAAAAGTACCTCCAATTCATCAGGTGAACTATATTTTTTCCTTAACGTAATCAAACTAAATCCTGCTACCAAACATGGCCCAACTATTATTATTAACAAAAGTGTCATTTTTTTCAAAGAGAATCATCATACACCAAAATGGCTGAATTAAAAAGCATAAGGGTACCGTTAGACAAAACCTTTCATTAAGAACAAAATGCCAAATATCAAGTACTAAAGGAAAAAGAATCAAAACGAGTCAGACAAACATGTACATCAGAACCCTCCAAACATCCAATATATAGAACCATCCAACAACCTAAAGGCAGAATATACCAATTAGGCATACCTTTGGTTCCCCAATTAAGAGCAAAATTTCTTCAACTTCAGCAGTTTCCATGATTCACATTAACGGTGATTCAACTTTACCTCACCTGAAAAATTAGTACGTAACTAGAAATAATCAGAATCTATGAATAAGGTAATGCACCAATAACCATGGCAAGTTAACCTAATAAAAAGAGAAAATTTAAAACAATAATAAAGGTAAAAATCAACCCCAAACGGAAAATAGCAAAACTCAAATCCTCATCCAGATTGTGGAAACGAAGAGATGCTAAAAACAAAATCCTCGCTTCTTTAACTAAAAACCCATCACTTGAAAAAACAAATTCTGACATGTCAGAATACAAGTTAGTTCCTACATAATTGGGATTCGAATGAGATCAGAAAGGCATAATGAGGCAAACGATGCAATAGCTTTGGTTGGAGCAAAGTCGAAAAATTTTGTAGTTTTACTTATAAACTTCTTAAACCAAAAATATAGGAGCGGAAAAAATCTTAACCGATGTAGAATGAAAATATGCGTTCAAAACAACAGATGAAAACGAGTACAGCAGAGCCAGCCTAAAATCCAACCAAAGAGCAAATGTTTTTACCCAAATGATGTACAATCATGATCAAGCAGAACCAAAATACAAAAAGGTTTGCAATTAATCACGTACAATGATTGACGGAGGCTCGAGGAAATGAAGACTTGAGCAGAAATTAAGGACCATGTGTTGTATTGGCCTTATCACAAGCAGAAACTTTAATTGCTTCCTTTGACCAGCTTTAGCTAATTTCACTAGTTCTCTCTCATATATTCAGGAGATATTCAAGAAACCATATAGGAAGAAAGAGAAAGGGCTGCTTTTCAGATTTAGACTCGAGGGCGAAAGAGATGATTATGATGGTGATGATGATGGAAATTGGAAAGCCAAAGGTAATGAGAGAGGGAGAAGGCTTTTGGTTAATTTTAGAAGAGTAGGGAAGAGAGGGGCCAGGGGAGTAAATAGGGAGGAATATTTGAAATTACTATTTAAATAGGGGTACAAAATAAAATAAATGATATCAAATCTGGGGACTATGAGTGAAGGTTAATTTTTTCAGTATTCTGTTATGGAAAGTACTCTTTCATCTTCTTTTTTTTTTTTTTTTGGATTTAAAAATGATTTTCGAGGGTTTTCTGTAGAAAAAAATAATAATTTTGGAGGGGCTCTCGGAATTTTGAAGGCCGATTTTGTCTCCCAAGTTCATCGGCCGACAGTTGCCGACCTCCTGGTTTGTCGGCTAGCAGATCTGGCTTAAATGTGATTGTAATTTGTCCATTTTGCCATCCTTCCTTCTCTTTCTAGTCACGGAGGTTACGCGACTTCTTTTTTGAACGATTTTCACTTTCACCGGCACTTTATACCTTGAGTGACCACGGAATTTTTTTTTTTTTTCTTTCCCTTCCTTCATTGTATACACAGCAGTTTCAGGTGTTAGTTTTCACATACAATAATTATAACGGTGCCTATTCAAATGATAAATTAGATATAATTTAAGTGTTGCTAACAAATAATATTTTATATATTGACAATGCATACACTATCAGCGTTGGATAAATGACAATTATATAAAATTTAAATTTAAAATTTAACTTTTGTACGTATGCTATAAATCAAACGACATTAATGTATACACTATCAGTATATATAAAATTTACTCAAACAAATATTAATGAGTACTTGTCAGAAAAATCATAACTATGATAATATACAATGATAGTTTTACATCTCAATTGCTACTGCATTTCTAGTTGTTAACTTGCAAGTATAATCATTTTTCTCATTTGCCCTGTTCCGTGGAATAGTTGAGGATTGACATGCAAAATTAGAGCATTATCATAACCGTTTTGAATGCCAGAACGGTAATAAATGATTAATTAAACCTAAGCAAAAGAGAAACAGTAATCAAGTGCAATAACAAGAATCGGATGATGAATAAGCATCATTTATTTTTTATTAATTATTATTATTATGGTGGCTGCTTCAGCATTTTTAAAGTGATCAAGCACTTTGTGAAAGGATCTGATTTAAGTGGCAAGCTCAGTCGAAAAAAGAAACCAAAAAAAAAAAAAAAAAGCGAATTAGGACATGATGGTGCTTATTGATTGCCTAATAAAATCTGCAAGGTGCGCCATGAAATATAGCCTGACGTGTAAACCATCCCGATTAAACCCCAAGCTATACTTTAATAATAACCGTGGAATCCAATTTGGCCACATTTTATAGATAAACCCATGCAATAAACTATCTAACCTGCCTGCATGTTACGATGTTCTTGATTTAAATGTCAATTTCCCGTATTTGTACTTTCATCAAAAAGCATATTTTAATGTCATTTTGTGATGTTCATGATTTATCACCTTGGTAAGGAGTTCATTTATGAAATAGAGATTCTTTAACCAAATTAACTAAGGCTTTGTTTGGATTGCATTTTTCTGAATTTTTTTGGCAAAAAAAAATTACTATAATGATTTGAAATATGCGAGATAAAAAAAATAATTGAAAAATGTGTCTACGAAAACGTTACAAATTTTCTTTGAAAATCTAGAATCCAACACACGCCCTAAACAATCTATTGGATATAGATATAGAGGGTAAGAGGGCTTGCAATTGAATGTAAATATATTTACCGACAATTCAACACTAAATCATTTCCAATTGAGGTTATACTCCTAAGTAGCCTTTTTTATAATTTAACCTGCATATGCAACAAATTAAGACAATTGCATCTGTTAAATAGTAGCGGTAAATCATTAACAAATATGAGTCAACCAATGACTAACTGTACAATTTGTATCATAATTTGATTGCAGTATTTTTACTTAAAAATAATATATCAATACAGTTTTCACATTGACAGTTTGATTCGAGATGATTTCTTAGGAGCAGTGATTCGATCTTATTAGCGAAGAAGCCGAACATGTATTAGCACATGATTTTAATCTCACTTCTAAACTTTTAAATCCATGTACTTTCCTCTTTTTTTGTTTTATTTATCAATTCCATGAATGTGGACAAAAAAACAGTTTGACAAGGGTCTTGATGTAAAAGTCAAAAGGTTGAAACGTTTTAGAAACTGGATGTCATGAGTTCAAATTCCTCTTTTTTCCTCCTCTTGTTCTTGAATTCCACCTCCCCCTTGTGGGGACGGCGGGCCGGGGATAGGGAGGTGCGAAGACTAATGAAAAAGGAATGCAGAGAGGGATCACACGAACGATTAGGACGCTGGTGAGGGCTACGGATTGGGCAAAAAGGTAAATTCGTATTAATTTGATACTGTCGTCCCCCAACTCTGACCAGCGGATGTCGCCATAGATGAGTACGGCAAACGTGGATTTAAATTAGTATCAGATCAGTGCCAGTCCACGTGGGTGAAGTTTTCACCATCGATTTTCGCACAATTATTTTGCAGCGCAATTGAACCTGCCAAGTGCCACCCAAGTCACCCCAAAACAAGGGAAAATTAAAATTGCCAAAGCCAGATCCGTAATTAGCGGAAACGCTTGTGCTTATCCTATGATATGGAGTGAAATCGTGCTCCGGGTAGCCCACTTTGGATTAGGCCAGTAAATTAGGTCTAATGAGTCGGGACTTTTGTAAGCTCGAGGCCAACTCATTTAATTTGTGACACCTTCAAATTTCAGGTTACGAGTTTCGAGCTAATAAATGTAAAACTTATATTCAACTCTCATAATATTCGAGTTATGAATCTTATTTGAATTTAGTCTAAATTCACTTATCAATTAATTTTATTAATATAATTTCTATAACTATTAAGTTGTAAAACTAATTTAACATTCACATGAGTACAACATTAAAACTAAATATGAACGAGTAATGGTTCTTAAAAAGTATAAATCAATATTTTTTTCAACAATATTTATATTTATTTTGTTCGAAGTAAATAGAAAATAGTAATGAAATATGTGATCATAAGCCAATATATTTTCAACTATTGGAATTTTTTCATAGTCTTGTGACTTGAATACAAACATACCAACACAAAAAGAAATCAATTAATATTATGCTATGACAAAAATTTATTCAATGAATAAAAAATAATTACTCAATAAAAATATCATATAATTGGGTATAGAATTGATTAATTGTATATAATATAATACCAAAACATAAATATTATGTATATTACCTATATATATCAGTATAAAATCAAAATATAAATATTACCTATATTATATATATATATATATCTAGGTAGGGCCAGGCCTATATCGGGTTTGAATCTGATAAATCCCAAGCTCGGCTCATAGTTAATGAGAGCCTAGTTTTGAAGCCCAAACTCAGCCCAGCTCACTGATATTGCAGATTCATCGAGCTTTTTATCGAGTTGAACGGATTGGACTCGGACTAGTCCGACCCTATTGAAAATCATACTCTGGATTGCTAGTTTAAAAATAAAAAATGTGAAATTTTGAAGTTTTGGTAAATAAAAAATATTGTAGATATGAGTGAGGTTAAAAAGGTGATCACAAAATATGAATTTTTTGAAGTTTTGGTTAAAAGATATACTATAGATGTATGAAAGATAAAAAGATAATTAAAAAATGTGTTTATAAAAAGCATCAAACTGAGTAAATCTTATATACACTGACGGCATATACACTATCAAGGTTGGATATATGACACATACGCAAAATTTAAGTTTTAAATTTAAATTCGAATTATGTGTCAATGGTGAAAGTGTATACACTGTCAGATGATTAATCCTAAACTTTTTGCTTAAACAATAGCAATCCGAATATGGCTATTTTTCTTTCTATGGGTTATGTTTTCTTTGAAGCTCGGTAATTTTGGTTTGATATGCTTACTACCTTTTTTTTTCCTTCGTGTACAATATATCTTTTGCCTTTTTCGACATTCTCTTCTACAACTAAATTTTTGAAAGCCATGTTGGAAACTAGCGCTGAGAGGAGAATCATAATTTTAATTCCAACAGTTTGGTTCCTGAAGAAATAATTGATCCTTGTTGCTTTTTATTTTAAAGAAAAAGAAAAACAATTGGCAAAATATAGCCCCTAATTGTTCCACTTTCTATCCGAAGAAGAAGAAGAAAGAGATAATTGACAATTTTAGCAATCACCAATAACGAAGGTCACATATAGATATTAGTCAAAACAACAAGGTTAAAATTTATTTTTACCTGGGTCAGCAAAAATTTATGCAACTAGTTTTTTTTTTTTTTTTTATTTAAGGATTTTTCTCTAACGGATTGACACTCCTTAGTGTGCTTAAGTTACATTTAACCAATATCTTGAACACAACATTCACCCTCTTGCATTTTGACATTTTTTTCCGAATCAAATTTTTTACTTTTTTTAAAGAAAAATTGACACATGAAACTTCTCTTAAAAAGTGATTACTGGGCCTGCTAGCCAAACTCCCTTTTATTTTATTTTTTCAGCCTATTAGACTTCATTGTTTGAAATGGAAAGTGAATGTGATTTGTGTGCACATTTTAAGTATTTTATTTAATTATTGTGGCTAACATCCACGCGATTGCCATCATCGTTAGTAATTGGTCAAATTCTTTTAATTGTCTATTTTTCATATCAAAAGTAACAGCATTAAAGATTAGATTTGTTTACAATCAAATTTGAAAAATTACGTCATCGAAGAGTCTAAACTTTAGGTACCGAAACTGCAATTATTCCTTGCTTCAAATGATAAATGTTTGCCTTTTGACACCTAACTTAGGAATTGAAGGGTGGAACCGAGGATCCCTTTGTCCCATGCTACCAGGAAAAGGCAAAAAAGGATGTCGAATTGAACGCCTTCCGAGTGCTAATACACATTCCAAAAAAGAAGTGGATTAGCAAGTGATGGACTATCATTCCAAATTTATTCGTGCATTCATGAAGGGCAGTCAAATCGTGCCTGCTTTACGAATAGGATCGAGGTTCCGGCGAAGCTGCC